GTGTGTGTGTGTGTGTGTGTATGAGTGTGTGTGTGTGTGTGTGTATATACGGGGCAACAGGCGAAACTCATGTATTTTGCGTGATCTTGGTCTCTGGCTTCATATCTGGCAATATAGGGAGAGGGAGGCTAGCCCTGAGCGAGACCTTTCATTTCCATGTGCTGCAACACTCTATTAAAGGAACTGGGGAATAAGTCATAACACAGCACTCCTCACATTGGGATTTAAAGATACCCCCTCTCCTAAAAAGGATTACAGGAGATGAAAAAAATCTGAGTCTCACTAACGTGCATCCATCCCTCTCACATCTCAGTTTTCTCCCTCCAGCTCCATTATCCATTCGGGGGCACATTCCCCCTCTTCCTCATTCACCACGCGTCCCTCACAGCCCCTCACAGCTCCTCACAGTCCCTCACAGCTCCTCACAGACCCTCACAGCTCCTCACAGTCCCACACAGCCTCTCACAGCGCCTCACAGTCCCTCACAGCACCTCACAGCCCCTCACAGCTCCTCACAGTCCCTCACAGCTCCTCACAGTCCCTCACAGCCTCTCACAGCGCCTCACAGTCCCTCACAGCACCTCACAGTCCCTCACAGCACCTCACAGCCCCTCACAGCTCCTCACAGTCCCTCACAGCTCCTCACAGACCCTCACAGCTCTTCACAGACCCTCACAGTCCCTCACAGTCCCTCACAGCCTCTCACAGCCTCTCACAGCTCCTCACAGCCCCTCACAGCTCCTCACAGCCCCTCACAGCTCCTCACAGCCCCTCACAGCTCCTCACAGCCCCTCACAGCTCCTCACAGCCCCTCACAGCTCCCAGTAACTTACAGGCCTCAGCCTCACTCCTCAACCCCTACTGCTTCATTACTGAAATTAGGAGCCTGTTATCTCTCCATACACTGAACTCAAGCCAGCTCCCTCCAAACACACCTAGCAAACTCTCTCTAATACACCCCCAAACCCTTCATCTATTTGAGCTTATGCCCTCATATCATCATCAGCAGATCCGTCAACACACCCACCACCATGAATATTACAGAGACAATATGATGTCCGACCGCCCCTCCGGGCACGTCCATCCATCTATGTGATTGGGTTAATGACATGTGCTACTGTATATGTGACTCATCACCAGTAAATGAGCTTTGATTGATGAGGAGGTGGTGGGTGGACAAGGTCATTATTATTGATAAGTCTGTGTTAACCCTTTGGGAGTTTTTCCTGGCCACTGTGATTCTAATTCTACTTGCACTTTCGGGTCTAGGCCAGGTTACTGCAAAGCATTCTGTGGCTGCTAATGTACAAAGGGCTTTATGAATACATTTGATTGATTAAACCTTTGTTGTTGTTCTGTCCCTGCAGGTTCTAGAGCGTCTGTTCCAGAAGGGTTTCAGCATGGCAGCGTCCTGCGGCGGCGGGGTGGACTCCTCCCAGTTCAGCGAGTATGTGCTGTGTCGTGAGGACCGGCGGAGTATGTCCATGAACACCCCCATCAGGATAAAACAGGAGCCCCTAGACTAGAGAGGGACTTTAGGAGAGGAGAGGGACTAGCCACGAGGGGCTCATCACCCCCCTACTGGACAGAACAGAACAAATCCAAACCCTAATATTCCTCCACCTCACACCACAAAAAACCAACCCAGCAAGAAACACCTAAGTATTAGCAGACGCCTGGTAACATTGCCAGCTCTGAGGAACTCAGTGCTCTGAGGGGAATGTATCAAACACAAAAAAGGAAAGAAAGAAAACAAAAGTCTTTGATTCTGTTTACTAATAACACCCAAAGAAATCTGGGACTATGATGAAGAACAAAAAGACTGAAACAGCAGCTCCATCTCTTGAACCATTTAAGCACCGTGACCAATCTCTTTTTTCTCCAGTTGTAAGGCTCTCTGACCCCTTGTGAAGAGGTGTCTCCTGACCTCAGTGAGGAGCACGGCCCCCTTGCCGACCCCCCCTCGGTGCAGTGCAAGGCAGAGTGTCGTCCAGTCCTGTACGTGTCTGTGTGAGGCCCATGTGTTGTGTGCGCCGGCCAGTGCAACTGAGTGGGGACGAGACAGGTCCAATTTAGGGAGGCCTGGCCTGACAAGGGACAGGGCTGGCAGAGAGGAAGAGGAGGAAGCGACAGAGTCATTCAACAAACACACATCGTCCCGCCAGCCCAGTGGCCATCCAGCCCACATCGCTCTTATAGCCAGCAACCAGGCCTCGCAGCCAAGAGAGGTCCGATTGATTGTCTTTCTGGTTTTCATTGTTGTTTATGAAGTGCAACTTTTTTCTCTGTTTTTTGCTGTTCTATCACAATATGGTGTAAACAATTATTAATAGGATTGTTTTATGTTTTTTTTCCTCCTTTATGAAGGAGGTATGAACGTTGTATTCAGAGTCATTAGGTTTGAAAGCTTGAGAGAATGAGAAAGAGAAGAGAGAGAGGAGAGAGAGAGAGAGAGAGAGAGAGAGAGAGAGAGAGAGAGAGAGAGAGAGAGGACTTGGCAGTGGCTATAGAAACACTATTATGTCTGGAGGCTACGTGGCTAAAGCAGCAGTCTGGCTGGTAATGCATTCAGAGCTGGAGTAGGTCTCATTGTTTAAATGAGGCTGCAAGGGATCCTGGCTATTTGTACATCTTTCAGAGGAAACATTTGTAGCACACATAAAAAGTGCATTGGCGCTGTTGCAATTAGCTGTAAAACATATCTTAAATCAAATAACATTAACAATGTGAGAGTACATATATGTATTAAAAAGTTAAAAGTCAAAAGGTAAAATGATCTGCAATGTGAAATGAGAAAATCTTTATACGAAGGCTCTGAATGTGTTGCTGATTGGTTGTGGAATGCCAGAATGTTCATAACTTGAAAACGAACATGTGAACTGAGATAAATCAGTGTATCTCCATGTTTTTGATGAGATGTACTCTAAATGCTTGAACTTTGTTTGCACTTATAACACATCATCTACAAAACTTCTGCCACCCAAAACAAGTTATTAGTATACGTCCTGATGACCAGTGCCAAGTCAACCCAGATGTTATCTCATTGTGTTTATAGTAATTAGCACATATTAATATGTTGAGAGAGCCCAAAACAATGTAAGTAATAGCAAACTTCGGTGATAAAGCTAAGGTGCCTATTTGATGATTGTACAAAGTTTAAAATTCATGTTTTCATAATTGTTTATTTGACACAGAAATCACTATGATTTTTCAAAACTATTTTATACAAACAAACACAGTACAAATAGTCTGACAATTGAAAGAATACTTTACGTTCAATCATGGAAGCCCCTAATGTTTGTCTTGCGGACTGTCTGTCACCTCATTTCTAAGGCAGGATTATTTCAATCACTCTTCACGTCTGCAGCAGTATAACCTAAAATGAAGTGTAAGCTGAGCATCAGAGCATTGTTTACAGAGTGGGAGGCACTTACTCTATCCTGCTGTGATTCCATGGTTTGATTCTCTACATTTGTGGATCAAAGAGAGAAACAAGAAAGAAAGAGTATACGTTTTCATACTTTCTATCTGTGTAACTTACAGACACTGTTTCTTCCATTCCAAAATACTTGATAAAAAAGAGGCCCATTCTGATCTTGGTTCAGCACAGGCTAGTTAATAAGTTTGTTTTGAAATGTCCTATGGTGGGTGTTTTCATTAAACATTACGAAAATCTTAATTCAAATGGGATGGTACTCTAATAATTTGTAACAAACCAACTCTCCACTTGGTCCTAGTGTCCAGTGTCCTCTCTGCGGATGGCCACTGATTAAACAAGCCACAGGATTCTTCAATCTTCACTTCTTAAAGATGGCCAGGCTTAGTTAGTTAGTTTAGCTCCTAGAAGTCCAGAAGGCAGCACAGACCTCCTGGGGGGCCTCCCTCCCAATCAGGCTCCTCTTTGTTCTGACCTGCTACTGGCCTGGGCCCTTGCATCCAGTCACCTCAAAGGGAATGGCCAACCAGGCCTTTCATGTTGCTGAGGGATGTGGAGCTTCAGAGCCCAGCAGGTCCCCCGGGCTCCCATGCACTCCCAGCTCCTCAGCAATGCCAGTAGAGACAAGGGTTGTGCCCCCCACTGCGTCATCACATTCCTAGACCTTTCTGTACAGAGCACCCTCCTAACATTACCCCCATGGCTCACTGGATTGCACCGCACCACACTAGACCAAACAAACATTCCCTCCCTACTTTATGTCCTCTGGTGTCTCTAGATTCAACTTTCCATCTCAAGGTAACCGGCTCAGTTCTCAATGGTTCTGAATAGTTACAGTATGTGGCAGCATTTAGCTCACCTTCATCAGTTCACGTCCTTGTTGACACAAGAGTAAAGCAACTCAACAATACCTCTTACAGGTGGCAGGTTCTCACAGATACCTCATTACATTACTGGGGCATTTCCTCTAATATACTGTATGTTTTCACACATACACTCTCAGAAAAAAAGAGTGCTATGTAGCACCATTTGTCCTAGTTGGAGAACACCCTGAAAATTGGCTCCAGATAGAACCCTTTTGGGTTTCAAATAGAACCTGGGTTCCAAATAGAACCTGTTAAAGGGTGCTATTTGGAACCAGAAAGAGCTGTATCTGATCTTAAATGGTTCTATCTGGAAACTTTTTCAGAGGGTTCCGCTACAGGGAAAAATGGTGCCACATAGCACTCTTTTTTTCTGAGAGTGTACCATTTTCTTTTAGTAATTTGTGGTCAGTAAGTTGGTAGACCATAATTAACAAGTCCAGAGACCAGAGGGCAGTTGTACAGTTGTTTGTATATTAAATTGTTATAAGGACTGGCTTTTACTGAGCCCTCGACCATCTTATTAGAAAAGAGACCTCTAAGTCCTCTCACTCACTACAAAACAAAAATAATTTCAAATTTCGCAAGCATTATGTTGTGTACATATGAATTAAAAACATTTCAAAAGGGTATACTTAAGGTACAAAATGTATATTATTTAAAATGTTTTAATAATTAGACTGTGGTATTAAAGGGCATGTGTTCACTTACAGTGTGTCCATTTGATTTTTCTTGCATATTTGCGATAATAAAAGGATGTACTGTATATTTCCTGCCTCGGCCCTGTCCTTTGTGTCATTTCTTGGATAATAGGGTGTTGTTTTTTCATCCTTTCATCTGCACTAACACTGTCTCTTTCAAGACGAAAAATACAGTACACCTCATGCAGTTATATGTAAAACAGATCTCATGAGGTTTCTTATGTGGTCATTTACTTCTCAGTTTGACCTGACGTGAACTCTCAATATACTATAATCCACCAGAAAAAATGTGTCAGACCCTGCACAAACATATCTTTGCAGTGCACCAGTCTCTGCATGGGTAAAGCAGGGGGCGTTAAGGGTTAAATCAAGATCAGCAGTCTGAGGCGCCAAAGGGACTTTCAAATGGGCCTGCTGCTGCATCTAGAAAAAACCCCACCAGAATCTGCTCCCAAATCCCTGTGTTTTGCACTGAGTTAAACGTTTTGGTATTTTCAAAATGCTGCCGCTTAATTAGCAGTAGAATCCGGAGGGGACTTCTTCTTGGTCTCTAGCACTGGTACTTAACTCAATTTGTACTTAGCATGTGGAATGCTAGTAAATAGAAATGAAGTTGGTTTCATTAGTCAATTTCAGTTTCGGTACAACTAACTGTCCTGTAAAAACATTACTGTTGATTTTGAGGTTAGATTGAAATAATAAAGGGAAACTGATTATTATGCGTAGCTAACATACTAACCAGTTATATAGTACAGTAATTACAACACTTAAGCTATAGCTACACATTTTAAGTACAGTTCTTTTAATAAAGCTGTACTACTAAATCCAGTTACTCTGCTTAACTACAGAACTGTACTGTATGGTATCAAGGGTTACTAGACATTACAGATTGATATGGAAATGATGGATATTCAAAGAAATTGTATTAATATCACAAAAGTCTGTGTCTGTTTAGTTTAGTAAACAGCTTATTTATTCCTTTACAAAATAGGTACAAATACAGAAGTATGTTTTTCACACAAACAGAACATTTTCAAGATATGTACAGAGTTTACCAAAAATAACGTAGTTCTAATAAACACATGGTCATGTAAACAATATTTACAAATTATGCATACATTAAAACATACATTTTCCAACTGGGTACATCAGTAATCCTTATATTTTGGCTAAAAAGCTGAAGTAGTAGAAATGTTCTCCATATTTATTTATCAGAAATCATACAAATAATTATTCAAATATGAACCACTGAACAAATAGGTATTTTTGTGCTTCTTTTAAACTTCAATTTTTTAACTATAAGTACTTTCGAGATAAAATTGCATTGTCTAAATTGTGGCAAATGAAATGCCAATGAAAAAAGAACTCAAAAGAAGAATATATAAATAGTTAAAAAATAAGTTTCCCTTTCAACACCAACTGACAATAATGTTTGATGCTTAAAAGAGACAGGAACTATTTATTTCTATACATTAGTAACACAGCTTTCTGTTTTTTTCTCATAGTATAAGTAATAAAAAACAGTATATAATAGTGCTGTTAGAAAAAACTTCAATGCACATTAATTCCAAATGTTACCCATTCAACAAATAAATTACAAAGCGACACAAGACAGAAGCTGCATAGAGGCGAGGGTATTCAAAACCAAACAATAACAGAAAGACCATGTTAATAAGAGGTTGGTCAGAAACAGGTGACAACACTGAGGCCTTGCAGAGTTTGACCCTAATTACAAAGGATGTATAGCTACTGACAGAGAGGCATTGGTCTCCTACCTCTCATTCTAGAGACAACATAAAAACATACAACTATAAAAACAATGCAATGTCAATATTAGGCTAAAATTAAGAATTCTCAAAACTGTACTCCAACAACTGTCCAGCTCCTCACAAGTCTGATATGTATTGTTAATTGTCTTGAAGTGAAACAGAGGAAACCCTAAGATGGGAGCTGCTTGTCAAATGACCATACTGCACTCTGGGCGTCTGCTGAGGGTATGGGCCTGGCTTCACAGAATAGGTTCTTCAGACAACCTAAAGCATTGTGGAAATGGGCATCTGAATTCTAAAAGTACATCTAGAAAAAATATGTTTCTCCATAAGTTTGGGTACAGAGAGAGACTACTGTGCCTTGCTCAATGGGGGTGACTGGCCAGGATCCACCATATTGGTGGACTATGGTAGCTCTGACCATGGTTTGATTATTGACCTGTTGGATTGGCTCAGACTATCTGCATTGCATTAAAACAAAGTTTATAAAGTGAAAGAATACAAAGAATACAATTTGCTTATTGACAGTTAAATGTTACCTTTCAGGTATTTTACATTTGTTCATGTTTTTTTAAGTGTACTGTATGTAAATTGTAAAGTATTTGAGTCTGTAATGTATTTTTCGTTGTGTCGGACCCCAGGTAGACTAGCTGTCATCATGGCGTCAGCTAAAGGGATCCAAATAAAATAAAATCATAACAATTTTCAATGCACATGATTTTACAGAATAT